GTACAGCTAAAAAAAAAAAAGATCTTGAGCTTATTTCTATTTATTTAGATATATTCCTATATAATTAATAAGGGTCAATTTTTAAACAGAAAATCAAGAATGTTGGTAGTGGTTTTTTTTATGTTTTTATTTTTATGAGACAGGCTTTGACTTGTGAAGCTGAAGATAAAGCTTGTTATCTTGTTCAGTTACTAGCTAAAACAATTTCTGGGATTGTCTCCATCTTCTAGAATGGTTTCAATCCCTGGATATAACACTTCTGCCGGCTTTTATGTTATTATATTTGGTATGGTTGGGTTTGCTTTTCTTCCCTACTCCCTGGTATTTTGGAAGGAAACAGTTTTTCAGCTTGGTATCTGAAAAGGTCTACTTCAAACATATAGCTGTATTAATAAGATTGGAAAAATAAGAAGTTCTTTTTAGAGACTTGTATCTGTGGAATAAAAATCATGCAATATATAAAATACAAAAGGTAATAGCTGCATTAATACACTGCATTAACATACTTGCAGATAATTTTGATCTATAATTTTGTTCTTAGGCACAGTCTGATGAAAAAGCAGTTATCGCAAAACTGCATCAGCGTATCATAGCCCTTCAAGACAGTGAATCCATTGCTATAGGCAAGTTGGAGACTCTAAAATTGAAACTAAAGAAGGTGGAAATCCACAATCTACATTTAGAGCAGAAGCTTGATGACAGAGAGCATGCCTTATATTTTGCCCGACTGGAAGGAAGGAATAGAGCAAAACATCTACAACAGACAGTTCAGTCTTTGCGGAGACAGTTTAGTGGGGCTCTACCTTTAGCACAACAAGAAAAATTCTCAAGGACAATGATTCAGCTACAGAGTGACAAACTGAAAATCCTAGAAGAAGTCCAGCATGCCCAGCAGGACCGTCGAAATGCAGAAAACAGAGCACTGGAAGTGGAGCTGAAGCTGAAAAGTTTGGAAGAATTATTAACTGCATTGAAGGATACGAGAGGAGCTCAAAAGGTTTGCCTTCTTACAGCTTTGAATAGTAATCCGAATCTAATTTAGCATTTATGCTAAATTTCATTTCAGTGTGTTTCCTGAACCTCTGTTTAATGTAGAGCTTCAAGATCTCAAAATGTACTGTGTCAGAATAAGACAGCTGTCATTATTGCTTTTCCTATTTTAAAAAAGTAGCAACATGATTAGTTATTTGCTGTGTAAAAGTCAGTGCAGTCAGAGTTACTAATTTTCTTTTTCTAATGAAGTGGCATAGGAAATAGGGTCTTACAGTTGCATTAAATTGCATTAAATTCAATTAAATTATGAATTAAATTAAATTATGCACTAAATTAAATACAGAGTAATATTCTGAAATTCTGTTACTTGAGCTTGTACTGAAATCTTTGCTACAAATTCCCAACTTCTAAATAGATCCAAGGGAAGTATGCTCAGAAATGTTATTATACCCATATAATTCTACTTAGCCATATTTTGCTATTGTAAAAATACTGCTTTGCAATTTGAATAAGGCATTCTCACTTCTCTTCCAAATCCCTGCGTAGTTGGTTAGGTCATTTGAAAATTATTTAGAGAGAGGTCTTTGTCAGCATGGGTGAAACATTTTGCCTATCCAATTGTCTTCTGTGCTTTTCATAATTCTTTTTGCTGTTCATAATCTTATCATGCTGCCTCATTCAAAGGAAGAAACTTAAAAAGGCAGAATATTTCCCTTGCTTAGATAAGTGCTGCCTTTCCTCAAAGCTAGAGTGTAACTGCATCTAGGTGGCTTGTGGGCTTGGTAGATGATAATACTGTTTATCTTTCATTATTAGGTAATAGAATGGCATATGAAGATGGAGGAACTCCATCTGCAGGAACTTAAACTCAATCGAGAATTAGTCAAGCAAAAGGAAGAGATGAAGTATTTGCAAAACATAATTTCAGAGTACGAATGCACAATCAATAATTTGGAAGAAGAAGTTGTGCAGCAGAACAAGGTATGCATTTCTGCATTCTATAGAAAAACAGAATATTCTTTAAGTGATTTTGAAGTGATTCTTGGTAGTAAGATTTGTAACATGTTTGTATCATGGTTCTGTAATGCTTTTTAATAGCAAATGGGCTATTAGAATAGCGCTTTATTTTTTTTTTTCTGTTTAAGTTGGTTATAAATTCTCCATTGCCCTTAATAAACAAAATGCTTTTATCAAACATTTGTTACAGTTTCATGAAGAAAGGCAAATGGCATGGGACCAGAGGGAATTAGAATTGCAGCGCCAATTAGACGTATATGATCAGCAACAGAATGAAATACTTAGTACTGCTCTGAAGGTATGTGCACTGAATTAACTACAAGCAAACTAAAAAGCACATTTTTCAGAGCTATTGTATAATATGAATACAAATTTTTCTGTACAGTGTGAAGAGGCAGCAGGATCGGTTCCAGACCCTAGTTTGCCCCTCCCACAACAACTTGAGCTGGCTTTGAGGAAGATTCAGGAGCATGTTCAAATAATTGTGGAAACAAGGGCAACCTGCAAATCACTAGAGGAGGTAATTAAACCATAACATACCATATAAAGGATAATGGTTATATTTCTATGTTATTGAATTGTATTGTATTGTACTGTATTTCTGTATTATATTTCTCTAACAAATACCTTTTATGAATGTCCATCAAATGTGTTGACTCCCTTAGAAATATTTTAACTCGGAAAAAATGTAGATAATATATTTATTTGTAGTTACATAGTTCTTTCAGTAGGGACAGATTATTGGGGAACATTTTTAATTTGTTTAGATTATGTCTTTACTAGGGTAGGATGTTCTTGTACAACATTCAGTTTACTAGTCTCAAAAACATCACATTAGTTTTGATAATACAAAGTGGTTGCATAAGTATGTAAGCAGAAAATACCCTGGGACTTTCTTGATCTAATAGTAATTCCATACAGCCAAAATTAAATACAGAAAGCCTTTAGATTGAAAACCCATTTAGACAAATCTTGTTAGATTTTTTAAAATGTAAGCTCTTTTTTTGCAGCACTTGAGTTCTGTGAATGCAATAATTGCTTTCTGTTGTAGAAATTAAAAGAAAAGGAAGCTGCTCTGTGGAAAGCTGAACAAAATGTTTTATCCAAGGACAAAATTATAAATGAACTTAGACTTCGGTTACCTTCAATGTCAGAAAAAGAGAAAATAATAGCTGAATTATGCAAAAAAGAAGATGATCCAGAGTACCACCATGCAATAAAAATTGCTCATCAAACTATTGCAAATATGCAAGTACGATTAAATCAGAAGGAGGAAATGTTAAAAAAATACCAAGATCTGCTTGCGAAAGCAAGAGAGGTATTTATGTCTTGCATAAACTTTTTTTCCATTTGTAAGGTTTTTGTTCTCACTGGTAGTGGAAAAAAATTTTTTTTTGTCTCAGAAGAGAATACAGTTACTTGTTTTGTTTCTTTCTTTTTCTGTAGAAAATTCATGTATAATTTATCAACTTCTTTAAATAGTAGGTTTGCTTAGTCAAGAGGTTTATGTATATGGTGTATGTCTAGGAATTAAATTAGTATGAAAGGAAGATAATAAAAATTTGCTGTGAGAAGTGGACTCTTATTCCAGAGGCTTTTCAAGTATTTGCAACAGTGATCTGTGGACTGCATCTTGTAGTAAATTTGGAAGGTATATGAAAGAAAAGCATTTATGGAAAACATACTTCTTAAATATGCTGGCATTTAAAATATACTTTTAAAGTATAAACCTTGTGTTAAAGCATATTATTGTCTTCTTAAAGCAAACCCTATAACTTCCAGATTCTTAAAGTGTATTTTACATTAATAAACCTTGTGTTTAGGAGATATTTCAAGACTAAAGATACATCTGTTTTAGTGTGTTTGGATCAGAAGCACACATCTGAAGCATCATTGCTTAGTTAACGTATATAGTTATTTTATCTGAGAAAGATCAAGTTCTAGGATAGGAAATAAAACAGAAGATGCAGTCTTAAGAATGAACCTACTATGCTCTGTCTGCTAGTAGACATTCAACCCATAGGATCACATTAAAGCTAGTCTAAAGTAAGCAGCCCTGGAAACTATATAGTATGAATATCACTACACATAGAGAGACACAGTTGGCAAGGAGCACAAACAGCTTTTGGTGTTTGCTTTCTTGCTCCTGTTCTTTTGCAGTACACTACTTACAATATATTTTAAAACTGCAGTAGTCCGTTTTTTTCTAGTAATAAGTGCTGAGAAGAGGGGGAAAAAAAAGGTATGGTCATTAACAAGATGAGAAGTCTTGTGTAAAACAGAAGAACTGGAGGAAAAATTGAGGTACAATACTGAGCAATAACTGAAGAATCTATGTGGAGGGTACTTCAGTTCCATGTGCATCAGTAGAATGACATTTTTATTTTTAACTAACAGAAACAAGAGGAAATGGCAAAGAAACACGAAGAAGACATCAGAGTTCTACACCAGAAGTTAGATTTGTGTACTGAGAATTCTCTTAATAAATTGAAACAGACTGCTTTGGTGAGTTATGTGTATTTGTGGGATTAGTGAAGTTGTTCCTATATTTTGAAACTGGTTACTCAAAAGAACAGTTTTATAGTCAAAATTAAGTAATAATGATGATGAAAAATAAATAGATGGTCAATACAGAAAGAACTTCAGAAATTCTTGAATTTGACACTGATGAATTAGAGGACAAGTGTAAAACACAAAGTTTCTGCTTTAGACTGTAACATCATTGTTCTTATTCTAATCTATTGACTTAAAAGGGAAGAAGGGAGGCTTATTTTTTCTTTATTCTTTTCAGTCAGTTGCATTAATTCCATTTCAATGTAGATTTTCCTTTGATAATTGATGATAAGGTGACAGCCATATGTAATTGGTTATTCTGTAGATTTTTCTACATGCAAAGTTCTTTTCAAAGTAGCATAGGAATTGTATCTCAGTAGATAAACATGCTAGATACTAATGTTTGGTTAGAACTGAATTTAAAATGCATCACTAACCTTTGATTTAAAGCGTAAGATGTTTATCACACACATTTATTCTGTTTTACAGGAGTTAATGGAAGATCCTTCTTTATCACTTAACAGCAACAAACATTTCCTCCGTTTAGCTGAAATGGAGCAAACTGTAGTAGAACAGGACAATTCTCTTGCTTCACTTGTTGGTAAATTAAAGAAAACATCATCTGATTTGGAGAAACAAAAACAGATTACTATAATGAAAATCAAAGAGTTTGAGACTATCAGAACCCAGTAAGTTTTTAGACTGTCAACATTAAGTCACTGTTGGTCACTATGCATTGCTGTTACTGAAGTGGAATTGAGCGTATTTTAGCTGATATTTGGGTTTAGCTGAAAAAAAAAATGTAAGAGTTATGGTTGGTAAATGTAAACTATTTTTGCTTTAAAAATCTTCATTAAGGCTGATATTGAAAAATGTGGCTTGAGAAAATGTATTTCAGTTATAAACTTTGTGCCATCCAATCAAAAACAAAGTATTTAATTACTCTTGATATGAGAGTTGTCTTTAAGCTATTGTGATACTTACCTTGCACTCTCTACCACTCATTTGAACTTGCTGCCTGACAAGTTTAAATACATGAAAATTTAAGACTTGTTAAAAAGAAAAAAGGTTGGTGGTTTTCTTAGCAGTCAAGAACAGGAATTAAACTAGAACACTGTTCCAGATTGATCTGTCAATTGTTCTTGAATAATTAAGTGGAGACACTCTTATCTAAGATGGCCTTTTTCCTTTTTTTTTTTTTTTTTTTTTTTTTTTTTAACCATTTCTTTACTCATGAGATGGTAAGACACTGGAACAGGTTGCCCAGAGGGTGGATGCCCATCTCTAGATGCATGAAAAGCCAGATTGGCTGGGGCCTTGGGCAACCTGACCCAGTGGGAGGTGTCCCTACCCATGACAAGTGGGTTGGAAATAGATGAGCTTGGATCTGCCATTCAACCCAGCCCATTCTGTGTTTGTACAATAATTTGTTTTGACAACACAAAATACAACATTGTTGTTTTATTTGGAGTTTGCTAGCTAATAATTAAGCAATGTGCCTTATTAATGCTTATTTTACATTAGGCTTCAAGAAAAGCACACAGTTGATGTGGAACTACTGAAAGATGAAGCAAATGGATTAAAGAAAGTGTTGTCTCACATGGAGAAGGAATTAGCCAATGTAAAAGCTGAGCTAGAGGCTCAAAAAGAAGCAAATAAGAGAGCACCTACAGCAATAATGAAGAGCCTAGTGGAACAGCTGAAGAACCAGTTAACCCTAAAAGAGAAGCAGCAGAAAGTCAGTCAACAAAAATAACATATCTAGGTCTTAAATAAAAATTAATGCTTAAAGTGGCTTAATGTTTAAGAATTTTATGTATGCTACAGCAAGAGATGAAAAATCATTGCATAATTTAACATAAAATACAGTTGCATTTTGTTATTTGCTGATGTTAATATGAGCAGCTTCTTCTGGTATTAGAACTTGCATTTTTTATTTTCAGGCTTTGAGTAAAGCACTTTTGGTACTTCGAGCAGAAATGACTGCTAATGCTGAACAGCAGATAATTTCTGCAGCATCACAAAAAGAGGCATATATGAACGTTCAGGAGATTGTCGACAGAGAAACAAAGAGGCTCATGGTGAGTACAAGGTAATATCTTTGTATTGTATTATTATGTATCTGGTATATCTTGATGGTTTTTTTTATGTTTTGTTTTGTTTTGTTTTGTTTTTCCTCTAGACTCAGATAGAGGAACTAAATAATCAGATTTCAAAACTTAAAGATAACCTTAAACTAAGTAAAAACAGGGAGAGTGCTTTGTTAGATGAAAGGGATGAACTGAACCAAGAACTTCAGAGGAAACAAAAGGCACTTACTAAAATGATGAGAGAAAAAAATGAAATTGAAATGGAAAATGAAGAACTGAAGAAACGGACCAGGAGGCTAACCAGTGGTATTCAGGTAGAAGACATTTTTAAAACTGTATTTCATCTTGGCCACACTTTTATACTAGATGGGCTGGCTTGATGGAGGATTAACTACCTTTGACAGGCATTGAGACCAACACTCAGTTTAAAACTATATGATTGCTATCAGCTGGGTTACACATAAGCTATTAGTTTCTCCTGCTGGAAGTATGTCTCAAATACATTGAACAGGCTAAAAATTACTTTTTCTTTGTAACAAATTTAAGACTCTGAAGAGATGAATTGCCACTTTTAAAGCTGCTACGGATGGCTAGCTTGAATTTGATCTTCCTGTCTGCCCTCGCTTCTCTGTTCGGAAGTATAACTGTCTCAACTTTGTTTTTGAAATCAACTACTTACTACTGAATTAAGTTTAGAATGCATTTGTTGAATGAATTGTTGAATTAATTGTTGAAGTAAAGATAATTTTTAAAGTATCATTTAGGTTGTAAGCTACTTCTACCAATTGGAATTCAAAACTTTATTTTTGGTGGAGAGAAAAATACTTAGGTAGTGGTCACTAAACTTTAAGTTGAGAGTTTGTAATCTTCCAGAACAGAGCTGGTGAGCAAAATCTGGTTGATGAACTTCAGAAGAAAGTTAAAAAATTGGAAAATGAACTTGAGAAGAAGTGTGAAGAAATAGAAAAAAAAAGTATAAAAGAAGACAAGGTATGTGATAAATACAAATACTGTGGCTTTGAAAGATATCATCCTAAAGGTAGGCAGTTCGGCTTTTTCCTCTGCCTCCTAAAACAACCGTGAAACAGCCAAACTTGATCAAATCAAAAGCAGTTTCATGTCAGTCACTTTTGTATTCCCCGTGGAATAAAAACAGTAACAAAAGTAACAACAGTTACTGTTTGTTGCTTAGTACAAAGTGCTTGTATTTTAATGCTTTCCTGCCCTTTTTTTTGTGGAATTAAAAGTCCCCAGGTTGTAGAAAACTAAGATTTTATAGGTAGCAGTGAAATTGATTAAGTAAGTGAAGTTAAATGCTCATTTACAAAATCAGTGCAGTGATAAAAATGTGAAGTACTTGAAGAGCAAAAAGTGGGAAGTGATTATGTATCTAAGTGGTTATTCCTCACAAAAGCAGTTTCCACTTCCAGGAAGTTATGATGTTCTGGAGATGTGTTCATTTTACCATTGTTTGTTTTTCTGCTTGTTATTTTTCCATTTCAGTAACTAAATACTGGCTTGTCACAGTAATCATTCATACTCTTTATGATATTAAGTATGATTTCAAGACTAAAGTTATGCTTCCAGTTAGTTTGAGATTTTTTATATACTTACTGCTTAGTGTTTAAAGACATTTTTCACAAACTTTTTTTTTTCCTTTTTCCCAAGAATTTACTTTCTGTCTGTCTTTTAGTAACTGTAACTTTAGCGTGAAGACAGGACAGAAAGTACAGGGATGAAATGAAGGAAAAGAAACATCCAGCGAGACAATAAAACAGTTGTTTACAGGATGATTTTTCAGTAGTCGTTTGTGATCACATTCATACAGGTCTTAATTGATGTGTGTTTTAGAAGCACTTAATTTTAACTGTAAGAAAGTATAGTAAGAAAGTACAGAAATGGACAGCTTTGCAGCAGGACGTAAAACCTCCTGGTGAGCTGCAAGGAAACAGATAACTATCCTGAAAATTGGCATAGAAAAGCCCTTCTTTTTCTTTAATTTTACAAACTTATTTACAAGCCTGTAATTTAAATTAAAAGGATATATATCACAAGCATGTCTAATTTTTTTTTTTAATCTGTCACTTTATTTTTCTTCTAAGTGAACATTAAAATGTGAAGATGAATTTGATAATATGACATTAAATTGCATCAGTTTTATGCCAGTTACTGCAGCAAGTTTAGAGTATCCAGCTTGGACTGATTTTTACTAATTATGGCTTGACGTTTCAAATTTTAAAATGTAAAATATGCTGTGCATGGTTTTCCAATGTGTTTGTTTCCTTTAAGAAAACAGTTTGAAAAGAAATACATAATTTGTGTATGCGCTTCACAGACCTCGAAAGAGGAAATAATTAGATGGGAAGAAAGTAAAAAATGGCAAATCAGAATGGAAGGGATGCGGAACAAACTTAAAGACAAGGAAAAGGAAACCGATACGTTAGCTAAACAGTTAACCACACTGAAGGAACTTTATTCCAAGTGAGTTGTTTTTCATACATTCTTCTACAAAGTGATGGCATGAGAGAAATCCAAATATTTTTGCCACATAATCATACCAGTTCATTACAAGATGGATGCCTACATTTGATATTGCTATTGAGATTAAAATAATTGTTTAATTTTCAGGCAGCAGGCCACTCCTTTAGTATCCTTTCACTTGCGGAAAAAAACCACAAAGTTTCTTTTCTTCTACACCTATAGAATTAACTGTCTATGAATAAAACTCATTTATGTGCCTTATTATGCTTCTTGTATGTGATGTTCTGTTCTTTCCCTGAAACAAGTAAAAGTTTCAGCGAAACGGACTGAATCTTACCTCAGTGTTATTGAATCAGACTATTAGAGTGGGTGGTGTGCCACTGTTGTGTTATGCTACTGCAGTACTGACAGTTCTAGCATGATGAGACAAACTTTTTTTTAAACAAAAGGTAACAAAAAAACCAACGACATTTGTATGGCTTCCATGAAAGTTAAGTTTACTTCAGTACAGTAATGGCAGGATTGCAGTGATGATGGTTGGTGATGATCTCCAAATGATGATGGTAGTTGTAACTGTTAGATTGTTGATTGGAATTGCTTCAAAATGGCATTTGTCTGAGGTTAGAGCAAATCTCTCAGGAATTTAAGACAAAACACAGGCAAGAACAACAAATGGCTTGTGACTAGAGTGCTGCTAACTTCACAGTTGCTATTTTTTCCAGTATTTGTGATTTATTTATTTATTTATTTATTTGTGTAAAGCTGTCACTATTTGTATGGTAACTTTAACTAAAGAAAAGAGTGGTGCAGTACAGTGACAAAATAAATTACAAGATTTCAGGTAGGAAATAAATTTTCTCCCAAAGAAAGCAAGTCAGCAAATGCAAATAAAGTTTTAGCTTCTATTTTATTGCATCTTCCAGGACTGAAAAAGAGAAAAGTACTCTTCAGAAGAAACTGAAAAATACTGGTGTTACTGTTGACCGTGTTGTTGGAGTAAGAGTTTCAGAGTCTGAAAAAGAACTGGATGAACTAAGGAAACGGAATTTAAGTTTAGAAAATGAAGTTGCTCACATGAGGTGAGAGGCATTTCAAGAAAATCTGTAAAAAATATGAAATCATAGTATCATAGAATTGCTCAGGTTGGAAAAGACCTCATAGATCATGGAGTCTAAACACAGTGTAACCATACTACCCTACCTCTAACAACCCTCTGCTAAATCATGTCCCTGAGCACCACATCCAAATGGATTTTAAACAGATGCAGGGATGGTGACTCAACCATGTCCCTGGGGAGCCTATTGCAGTGCTTAACAACACTTTCGTAAAGAAGTTTTTCTCATCAAAATGAGAAAAGATCTGTGTAAAGATCCATTAGTTTTGTGATACAGTAGTGATACAATTAGCAAAAAAAAAAAAAAAGGAAAAGAAAAGAAAAAAAACCAAACCAAAACAACACAAAAAAACCGACCAGGTTGCAAGAGCTCTATGAGTCTGTGAGCAGCAAACTTAAAGTTTCCAGGAAGCAATTGTGCATGTACAGAGATTATACAACTTTGTTTCGTTATTTTAAAAGTGAAACAGTTTAAAAATATATGACTCCTTTTAAGTGAAGTTGTAATAATTTCAAGTTGATGAAAGATTCTGGAACTTAGATGTTGTAGTTATGGAGTCTGTTCCTAATCATTATATCCATTATTGCAGTGCATAGTGTACCTCAGTAATAGAAGGTGTACACATCTTAAAAGAGCAGATTCCTTTTCCCAAAATAGGTACTTTTGATTCATGGAGATTGGCTGAAGTAGTGTGTATGGATAACATTGATTTAGTATGACTAGTTCATTAAAATTAGAAGTTTCAGTCCAGTAATCCAGAAGCCAGAAGCTCACATTTGTTTTACATAAAGGTATGCTGTTCTGTATTAATAGCCATTTTTTATTTTGGCTTGATTCATTTTTGGATGTAGAACACAGCAAGCAATTCCACGGGATTCTGTTGTAGAAGAATTACATTTAAAAAATCAATACCTTCAGGAAAAGCTTCATGAATTGCAGAGACAGTGTTCAAGAGAGACATATTCTAGGCCCTCGGTAAGTTAATAATATGACTCTATCATCACTGCACCTACTTAACAAAAATATTTATTATCTGTTACTATTCTATATCATTTGGGAAATTTTATTTCAAATAATCATTGTTCAAAAACAGAATATGAAATTTCTTGTAGAGAAAAAAAGAACTAGTTTCTGAGTTCTGCTAAAATGGTAGAAGCTGAAATACTCCATTTCCTATAGTGGAGAAATAAGGGATATATATTGTCAAAAATGTGAGTCTGCAACTGAGTGACTACTTTATTCACCATGTTGATTGAAAAATGCGGCACGCAGAGTTTGAGGAGATTTTTAGCTGCTTTTGTTACATTAGATGTGGTCTGTTCTGCTTTGATTTGTACAAAGTTAACTGTATTGTGAATATTGAGTTACTACATTTTCTTAATTCTTCAGGACATAGATTCAACAGTACAGTCTGTTTCTTTATTTCTTCTTTTGTTTTACTGTCTTCTGCTTTTCTTGCATGCTTCATGTCTCAACTTGAATTAGAGTGCATATTATCAAACTGAACTGAATGAGTCTCTTCCTGTCAGTGTCAATAAAAAGAAGCGTTTGAATTACCTTCCAAAGAAATCTGTTTCAAATAGGGATGAAATCAAACATCAGACTAATCTTAGCACTTCTGATAACAATGAAATAGATGAGGAAGCAAGCATACAAAGTTCCTTTGTGCATAATGAAAGCCATGAGGCTACCAGGGATGCAGGCACAGAAGTCAGTCCTGAGCAGCAGCGTCCTGAAGATAATGAAAAGTGCGAAGATGCAGATATTTCTCGGGAAGGATTGAAAAGCAACAGTACAGCTGAAGATGGTGAAGAGAATTGCAGTAATAAAGAAGAAGATGTAGCCCAGCCTGAGAATAGAAAAACTAATGAGGAATTTGAAGAGGAGGACAGAAAGCAAGAAATATGCAAGCAATCAAATGCTGATGAAGAAGAAAGTGTACAAGAGCTTTATCCTGACAGAAGGAGCTGCAATCACTTTTATTCAGGAGAACCTTCTAATCAAGTTAATGATGATGAAGGACAAAGAATCAAAGAAATTAATCAACACACCGCGGAGAATAAATGTGAAACTTACCTAAGTGATACAGAGGGAGTTGAAACAACCCCAAAACCCTGTGAAATGCCTGAGGTTGGATACTGTAGCAATCCTCTTGCATTTTTTCTGTAGAAGTGACATAGAATAGTTTTGAATGGTCTGCACTGATATTAAAGTCATTATCAAATAATTCATAAAAGCAAATCTTACACTTTCACAATTCATTTCTATGTCAGTTCATAGCTAAGTTGTCAATTCTATAGTTTTGATGCAAAAAGCTTACAAATAATCATAATGATGCATGCAGCCCAATGATCATTCTTTAGAGACTTATAGTGTGATATTACATACCTTTAGAAAAAATGTCCTGTACTGAAACAGTACTTTTTTCATATTATCTTAACAGTGCATTAATGGTTCACATGGTTAATTCCATAATTACATAAATAAAACCTACAGATTATTGTATCGTCAAAAACATTTCATCTTCACTAATATTAGCTAATAATTTTTCATATACCTACACTTGCAATTGGCATGCAAAATACTTTTTATGTTATAGCCTCTGTGGGTAAAGTCTTAAAATATAGGAACTTATTTGTTCAGTGATCTATTTGACCTCATTTAAATTCTTATGCTATATGAAGTATTTAATAAACATATCAGAATATGTTCTTAAAATTAGATTTTGTTCCCAGGTAGTGTCTCAGCAGTTTACTATACTCAGCACCTTTTGTGTCTTAGAAAAGACAAAAGTTCATTTGTAACCAATAGTTTGATAGTTAATTGTTGTTTGGCAGGGTTTTTTTATGAGTTTATGCTCATTTGTAAGCTTTTTGTAAAGGCTAATCAAGTTTAGAAAATACAAGAAAAATAGTTAGAATCTCAGAATCATATAATCATCAAGGTTGGAAAGGACCTGTAAGATCGCCTACTCCAACTGTCAGTGCATTGTCACCATGCCCCACTAAACCATGTCCCTAAGACAAAATCGGTTAGATCTTGGTCGTTGGTGATACAACTCTGATCAGTTATATGCCACAAAATGTCTGTGATGAAAAAATTCCAAAAAAGATGGTAAACATTTTGTTTTGATTTTTTTTTTTTCTGTGCAAAATACTAATCATCTGTTATCAGCTACAACTGGTGCAGCAAATAGTGTCCTATGATTTAATAATAATTATTTTTTCCTGTTTTCTGAAGACCTCAGGAGTAGGATCAGATGATCAATATCGAAGAGAGCAAGAGGTTCTAAAGGAAAATTTAAGATTATCGTCTGAAAACGTTGAGCTAAGATTCCAGCTAGAGCAAGCCAACAGAGATTTGCCAAGACTAAAGGTAACATCTCTTTACCATTTGTCCCCTTTAACCTGGCACAGGTTAGTGGATTTTGTACAAAGAAACTGATGTTTGTATATTTTCTGTGTTCCTCATGTTCTTATGTAAGATAAAAGAAAGCTTGGTAGAAAATATTAAAAATTTCACTGTAATGGGAAATTGTTTTTTTTGTTTTTTTTTAATAAAACCAACTGTAACTTTGTTTCTTAATCTCAAACTTAAATCTAAATAAATAAGTTCCTTATTACTTTGTTCTATTAGGACCAAGTAAGTGACTTAAAAGAAATGTGTGAACTTCTCAAAAAGGAGAAAGTCGATGTTGAAAGAAAACTAAGCAGTGTTAGAGGGGTGAGTACTGCAACATTTTTCATCACAGTTACATTATATGAAAAAATATTTTATTTAAGGTAAATTATTTTGAATGAATTGAAAGCAAACAGTGAATGTTCTTGTTTATTTTACCATTGAAGTATTACAACAAATTAATAAAATTCAGTCATTAGGACCATTAGAATGAATAGAGCTACTATATTAAATATTTGCAGTATTGAAGCTTTGTTTTGTCATTTGCATTAAACCTGTTTTCAGAATCATGTTTGTACCAAAAAGAGGAGTTACTGCCTTTGTAATAAAAACTACATTTATAAAAGCTTTTTTTATTTGATGCAGATGTTAATGTAACTTGTTAGTGAAGGTGTTTTATTATGCAAGACTGCACACATTTTATGTTAGCCATTGTCAGCTGCTTTTGGAAAATTTGAAAAGTTACAGGAAAAAAGACTTCAGTAATGCTGAGTGCCTTTCCTTTTGCTGACTTCTCAAATTTATTTGTGTGAAGCAGAATTAAGCAAGTGCCTTGAATTATACAAGGAGAATGAATTCTGCTTTGGGGTACCTGGAAAGAATTGTATCTTAGGCGCTTGTAGCTTTTGGATAAGGCAGTTCAGTCTGTAAAACTGCTTCATTCAAAGATTTTGAGGAGGCAGCAAATTCTGAAACTTCCTTTTCAGACACAAAGATCTGTTAGGGGTTTTTCTGGTTCTGCTGTGTACAGCCACAAAGCTTTTAATCTCTTCAGAGCTTTTTGAGAAGAAAGAAGTAATTTTCACTTCCAAAACTTGCCTCACTGTGTATGTTTATATAGGGCTCCTAAAATCTTCTCCTTTTTCTGCTCTACTGTGGTTCTTACCTCTATGGAGAAGAGGTACTTCTGGCCCCAAAATTGGAAACAGCAGCATTTTTAAATTGTTATTGCTGAGGAAATCCATTGCTGCAAAGAATATAAATAAATTAAGGAATTTGAACACTCTTTAAGTACTTTTCTACCTCATAAATAGAATGGTTGAAGAAAAATAGAGAAAATAGTTGTGGATCGCCTTTTTTTTTTTTTTTAAACTTACATATGCTTTAAGCTGTATTTCTTTTGCCACTTTAATTTGTAGAAGTATGGTTGCTTTAAAAAAAATAATAAAAATAAAGCCCTTTTTTAGTCCTTTAAGCTCACAGGAGGTCACTACTTATTTCCCCTTTAGATAGTGTTAGTATTCAAGCAGTTGCACAGTCAGTTGGATCAGGAAACCGCTCTACAAGAAAAACAATTAAAAAAATAAAAAATCAAAACCAACTAAACAAAAAAAACCTAACAGCAAAATAAAACCTACTACTTTGATTTATCCTTATAATGTTTCATTTTATTTTATAAAATACATAAAATTTTGAGATTTAACTGCAGCTTTTTTAGGTAACAAGTTGAGGGAGCTGATAATTTGACTGTGGAGGTGAATGATCTTTTGGAAAGTTAAGTATGCAAGAATCTTGAGGATACAAATGACGCTAAACTTTAACAACTTTATAATGAATATGATAAAATGGAAAATATGCCATAAAAATAAGAATTGAAGTATTTTAGAAGGTTGTGTTGTGTCTTTTCTTTTTCTTCTGCACAGGCTGGCAGAAGTGGAAAGACAGTCCCGGAATTGGAAAAAACTATTGGTTTGATGAAAAAGGTGGTAGAGAGAGTCCAAAGAGAAAATGAAGATCTGAAAAAAGCTCCAGCTGTGGTTTCTAATGAGAAATTACTTGGTCTTGAACAGGAAAATGAGAGGCTAAAGGTACTGATTTATCTTAAATAGTATATTCAAATAGGAGTTCATATACAAATTAGTAGGAAAATTGAACAGCAAGCCTGTTGTTGATGTTGACTAGTACAAAAGTGGCCAGAACTAAAATTTCATTTTAGCATAAGTACTGCATGATTTATGTAAAGATAATTTGTATGTTAAGATAAATTTAAATATGTGATGAAATGTTCAGTCTGCAGTCTGTACTGTAACTGTCAGTTATATTCAGTGACTGTAACTGTGCTTCAAAAAAGGAAATTTGAAGTAATGTAAATATGTTTTAACAAACTATTTACTATTCAGTCTGAAATGAAAAAAATGAAACTTGATCTTGGGGGCCAGCTGAGTATGCATTACGAATCTAAAACCAAAGGAATGGAAAAAGTCATTACTGAAAATGAGAGGCTACGTAAAGAGCTGAAAAAGGTATGATCATTGCAGTGATTATTTGTTTATATTATGATTATATATGATGATATTTATTTATATATTATCTGATTTATGATAATTTATTTCCATTAGCTACTTGTTGTGCTGTGTATCTTTTTTCTTTTTAAAATGGTCAATGTGGTGGATATTTTTCTAAGAATTGCTATTGCCATTACAGAACTTTAAATTTCATGTGGAGGGGATACATCTAAGAAACAGGCTGAGACAGAATTTGGAAGCTAGCGGTCTGATACATGTATCTATGATACACTGTCAGCTCTGTCTCACCACATTTTTAGGTAATGCAGTGTTACATATAAGGTTAAGTATCATGCAACTTTTTTTTTTATTGAAAAACAGGAAGCTGACAGTGGAGAGAAGCTACGAATAGCAAAGAACAATTTGGAGATATTAAATGAGAAATTAACTGTACAGCTGAAGGAAGCCATGAAGAGGCTAAATTTGGCTGAAAACACAGGCTCTCAGCTTGATGAAACTGACAGGAAAATCTGGAAATCGGTTGCTGTAGCAAGGTATGGATTAAAATTATTCTTCAGTTCTCAAATATTATCAAAAAATACAGATTTATATTTTCATAACTTTTCTTTCCTCAGACAGTGCTTATTGTCTGACTCTATTAGTCTGTAGAATCAGTACAAAAATTCACCAGAGATCTACTATCCTTAAGCGCTGGCCTTGTTAGCTGGTTTTGTAGAGAAGATGTGTTCTCCCTTCTTCAGATCACCTTTAGACTCCAGGATAGCTTTGACAGAGGAACGATTTTGTGTTCCTTGCTTCTTAAACATACTGAATGTGTATTCAGCATTTTTGCTGAACATAAAAAACACAGACTTTAGTATCTTAGCAAAAGGATATCAATATGAGTGGTGGTGGGGAGGGGAGGGGGGGGGGAGGGGAGGGAAGATAGAGGCCCGGAACCTTCATTTTCCTAGTTGCATTTGTATATCTACATATAACCATGTGGCTGTGCAGAGGTTGTTTGTAAGCCCACTGGGATTTCTGTGTTCTTTGGGACAAGTACACGCAGGTGTTCTGAAGGCCCTGAAATGTAGTCAGCCTGGTAGTCCTGTTATTTGTAGTAGAAGGGAAAACTGGATCATGTTTTCCAATGTAAAAAGAAGTGTGGAATCACCCTTTCCTAGCTTTGTAGATAAAATTCAAACTTTGAAAATCATCATAAAAAATTACTGTTGGTAATAATAGTGAATATCTACAACTCTTTACTAATCGCTCTTATCTACCCATTGTTCTGAAACTGAGGTACTACTTACATCACAGTGTGGCACACACTAAACAAAGCAGTTTTATGACACCAATTTCTGCTCTACAAGTTAGACATGCATTATTATTTTATTGCTCCTTCTGGAGATAGTTCCGATGCTTTTTCTATGATAAGCTACTTATACAGACTGGAGATCTTAACTCAGCAAACAGAGCAACTTTTAATGGCATTCATTTCTTTGATAGAAGCATGTTGCTTTGAACTGTTTTGTGGTTTGCTTACAGCAGTTATTTTAGTGAGCAATCACCCCCAAAAGCATTGCCAGTCCAAAAACATTACTGTTAACACCTGCTTTCACGAATGAGCTGCATGCAAAGATAATATTCACGTGTCTCACTTGCATGTTTAATGATGAACAGATTGATACAGAATACTGATATGAGATACATGTGAAAATGGAGAATGAATAATTTTATCCCTCTTTGAGGGAAAAGTTTTTAATTGGGTATCACCTCCTGTACTTGGCAAATCAAAGAATAAGAAATTGAAATAGTGCGTATGCAAGTGGGAGAAAGAAACAGCATCTATCCTGCAGAGGCAGGGCACAGAGCAGGTTTTTGTGGAAAAATACTTAGCCCTGGGCTTCTACATGATGTCATAGTAAGTTCAGGCTGCAAAAATACCTTCAGTGTTTACAAACAGAGATAGATAAACTTTTTGCAGATAGTTTCTAGCTCTGGCAGCAACCTTGTAAGGGCAGAAAATTAACCATACAAGAGAGACAGCTGTCTGATTTCAGACAAGGTCAGCTTGTTGTTGAACTTCAGTCTCTCTAGCCTTGTATTCCTGTGGGATCCCTTGGCAGAATTGTAGAGCTTCTCTGACACACAGCTGAACCATTTCACTTCACTGAGACTTTAGAAAGCTGTTCCTTTATTTTCTCCTTCTGCCTAACTACATAGTGAGGTAAAATGTCTACATGCAAGGTCAGATGACTGTTATATTTAGTGCGAGGAAGAGGGGAACACTGGCTGCCAGCCACAGGAGGAAGAAGAATGTGTGTTGAAGGTGTAGACCCTTAAGGCCTTACGTTACCAGCTTAATGTTTGAATAAAGTTTCTCTTTTAATTATTCACCTTTTTGAAAAACATTTGTACTAACTTCTTTTTAGTTGATGTACGTAGTTGTGTACAGTAATGTCTGTATGTATACACACATGTATGCATGAGAGCTGCTCCAAAAGTAATGCCTCCTATTTCATTATGTTGACTCAAGACACCGGTGGCAAAGAGTGGTGTTATGGAAGTAGAAACTGAACCTTCTGGCCCACAGTCTTGCATTTTGTTGCCATGAAACGGCAGCAGAGGAACAGCATCTGGTATAGGGAGTGCATATGAAGCAAAGGCATGTAACTGAATTCCTCTGCGTGGAAAAAGTTGCACCCATTCCCATTCATCGACGCTTGGTGAACATGCTCACTGCATAGTGAGGCAGTGGGTGGTGCATTTTAGCAGTAGTGAAGTGGGTCACCTCCGCTGGTACAGATTTGTACAAGCATACCATGCAGGCTTTTGTTCATCACTGGCAGAAAAAATGCACAGCTAATACTGGTGACTATGTTGAAATATAGTTTTGTAGAGCAGAGTCATATAGCATTACTGTTGGAAAGCGCTCTACTTTCCACAGAAATAAACTGGAAGCATTACTTTCAGAGAAACCTATGTATATAAATATAGCATCATGATTAATTATACTTGATCATTTCAAATGGTGTGAATAAAAACTTTTTATTTGGTTTAACATGGTTTAAGACTAACAACATTTTGAAATAAATAAATAGTACCAACCTAGAAAAGCTCACTGGAGCACTTTATCATGCAGTCCACCTCACCAACATATTTTCCAGAGGTAAATGGTAATAAAAAGTCCTTGGGCATCACCTACATGATCGTTGGGATTTTACTGTTTGGCATGTAGGAAGAGATTAGAATCCACATCTGAAAAGCCTCTTCAGCAGGAAGACTGGAATAGATATCTCTAGCGATGTCTTGCAATCAACATTTCCGTATTTCTATAAAAATATTTTTGTAGCAGGCTCAAAGCAAAATGGATTCCTGCTCAGACTCCAAGACAGAACATCATTTCTCGTAGAACACTTTGTAAACACTTTTTCTGTTCAGTCTGCATCTCCTGCACCTGTATTAAGCTTTTTTTTTTTCTTTGTACTACATTGATTTATTTTCCATTAATTGTTAAATCACAATGAAGACAGACCTGAGAAATGCATCATCCAACTTAACACAGCAAGAGACATGCATGGTTTAGCAAGAAATAGCCCGGTGTATACATGCAGAACCATACAGGATTCCTGTAACTCCTTGTCAGAGTATAAACGTGTAAGGTCAGCAATGGTAGAACATTTGGAAGAACCTTTATTCTAAAATCTAAAAAAATACTAAAATGTTTCATTATGCTTAATTCAGCTCACTCACTTATTAAATAAGATCAGTGATTATTTGAAGGCCTCTGCTCCTAACATATTTTAGGGTGTCTTTTACAACACCTTACCTGCTTTGAGAATATCCTGATTTTTATTTTTTTGTATTTTCTCTTATCTTTTCCTCTTTAAATATTAATAACCATAATAATTGTAATACCAGGATGCATGAAGCAAAGATGAAGGAACTGGAAATGGATATTGCTAAAAAAACCCAAAGCATTACTGACCTTAAACGGCTGCTTCAGGAGGCAACAGAACGTGAACACAATGCTGATAAAAACTTACAGGATCTAAAAGAACAAGTGAGTAAAAATCTAAGCCAGATGAGTCTAAGAATACATTGATTAATTTTAATTTCCTTCTGATGTCCATACTGACAGTTTATTTTTCTCTCTGTTTTTAATTATTTTCAGTTTTAGTTGCCGTAATTGTACATTTAAATATTTTTGATGATTAATAAGGATTACCACTTACCAATACATATAGATGCCTTCCCCTTCTTACAGGAAATAGTATTTCTTCATATATTTCTTAAAATCATTCTAGCTTGTTCAGCAAAGTAATTTTCCTACAGGAACTTTCTTCTTTCTACAAGTCTTTTTGGGAGACTGACTTTTCCATTTTACAGAGGATTTTTGTGTTTCTTTCCAATATGGCATCATACTACACAGCCTTTACAATAAGTTCTTACAAATATACTTCACACATGGAAGAGTTACTGAATTTGACTAAGGAACACTTGAAAAAATGGATCAGATTTTGACTTTCAAGTATGCCAGAGATGTAGGCCTATGTCTGTGTACCTGGATTAACCTTAGCTTCCATCTTCTTGTTTATTAAGAAGTGCATGGTTTTCTTCCCTGAACATCTCGCCCTGGCAGTTCTCAGAGTAAAGTGCTGAATGCACATAAGTCAGACATTATCTAACCAAGTAAATGCGTTCAATAAATAGAAAAAGGACGTGGAATGGAGTTTTGCAAAATAATTACTTTAAGCTTTGTCTATGTTTGCTTTTCTCCTTCTGGTTTAAAGTCAGCACTATTAACATGAACAAGCCTCTCCTGAACTGTTGGATCCTTCTTACCAATAGCAAAATTAAGAGAAAATTATTTTATTATGTGACATTACTCTGAGGCAACACAATTTCAGGTTTGTTTTGTCTCAAATGCAAATGAAGGGATGTGGTCAACATTCATTCCACTTCAAAGAAACAGAGATCTACTGTCAAAGAGTTAGAACCAAAATCTATACCTAACAGTAGCCTTACAAGAGTTCATAAATGATCACTCTAAAAAAAAAAATCTAATTTAAAAGACTTTAAATTTTTGCTCTTGTATCTTCTACTGAAAGGTACATCTACAGGCTAACTCCCTCTCTGCTTCTAGTTTATGACTGCAGATCATTTCTAATCAGTGTCCATGACAAGTGTACATTAATTTCAGTTTTAATTGCAGTTACTTGCATTTCAAATGACACAAAGAAACTTGAGACACCTATGTATGCAAACAAACATGTCATTACCTTTAGTGTATATCTATACTTTATTCTGATGTCTCAATTTATGTTCCTAGCATTCTTTTCAAAACTTTTTTTTCCAACCTTCATGAAATATGCAGTGCAGCTTAGCTTTAAGAGGACTGCAGGTAATTAGAAACTTTGAAGAAACTGGTTGTTGGTTATTACTTTTTTTTTCCTCCACCCTCTGTGATCACCTAGTACTTGGTTAAACCATTAGTATATTAGTGTCATTTTCTTTCATTTCATTAAACTATGCCAAGGAGAAGTCACTAACTCCATGTGAAATACACTATCTGTGGATACTGCTCTCAAGACTGACTTTGCTTGTTTGTTTAACTTTTCTTTCAAGATTGAGCATCTCAGCCACCTTCCTGAAGGTGCAAGGACAGAGCAAGGCCTCATCAGGGAGCTTCAGCTTTTAAGGTACTATATTCCTCAGCCAACATATATGAAATGAGAATGATCAACAAAAAGCCACTGCAGTTTTTAATTATGTGTTACTTATTTCAAAACATGTTAATACTTTTAAAATTATTTTAAAATTCTTTTATATTCCAGATTAACTAATAGCGAATTAAAGGAAGAAAAAGCAGAATTAGCACGCCAGATAGAAGACTATAAGCACCAGATACACGTGTACACCAGTGAGGGTCCTGCAGCTGGTAATCATTTCCAATATCTAAAATAAAGATTTTTGTGTAGCCTGGGCCTAAAAGTATTTTTACTTAATATGTGTGCAAAATGATAATATAATCCAAATATTTCTGTTGTTCTATTAATGCCAATGTGCCATAAACTGGAGCAAATTAAGGTCCCTGATGTTTGATAGTTATAAGGAAGTACTAGTAAAAGTTACTTTGAGGAAGAGGCTGGAATCTTTGCAAGATTTCCCTTTCTAAGAAGTGAATTTCATGCTTTATAAAACTCAAATAGTGCTTGTAAGACTTCAGTCATTCATTGAAACCCTCCTCCTTAATCCTCTTGCCTTGGGTTCCAGGCTGCCAGAAAACAAGTGTCTATTTCAGGATACCAGCCCTGTGGATGATTTAAGATTAGCAGCTGTCAGAAAAAGCCACAGTAAAAGCAAGGAGTGCTGTAGAGCAGCATACTGCCAAAAGAAAAAAAAACCAACAAAACAAAACCAACACATTCTTGAATCGTGAATATAATTAATAAGATCCTTAAATTCTCTTTTCCAAATTTTCTGTATCAGAGAAACTGCACATATATTTTTCAGAAACGTGCTAATAGACTGGTCATTTGAATACTGCCTTCAATAACAAGAATTATACACCATTACCTAACTTGTGGAAGAACATAAGAATAGCCAGGATGATTTGAAATTTTGGTGGCTGTTGATCACAACTGAGTTTACACACTGCTTCTCTTTACAGTTGAAACAGCTGAAGTATTATTGTAACAAATTTATTCATGTAATTGATTATACTTACCTGAAATTTCCTATCAAGTCAATACTTTTTGCAGGAAATAGTGAAGTTTCAAAGAAGGATAAAAATGATAACTTAATGACAGAAGTAGCTGACCTCCAGGCACAGCTGAAAGCCTCTGAGTTGGAGAAAGAGCAGCTACAGGTGAGTTGCAGAGATGATCTTTGGCAAGATAATGAGCACAACTATAGTCAGCTAGAAGAACCTATTTAATATCCCAAATAACACTAAAACAAGTCAATTTCTCACCACTGCGCCTATGAAACTGATTTTGTTAATGAATTTTCTCTTCCTGAGTAGATTTGTCTGTAGTAGAACATATGTTCTCTGAAGAGAAAGGCAGAAAAGCTGTTGATGACAAGTATTCCCTAAGTTCTGGTTATCCCTTTGTTCTTTGCAATAGGAAGAAACAAAAAAGTTGAGAAAAGAACTGGAAAACTTCAATCCTTCCTTTTTTGAAGAAATTGAAGATCTGAAATACAACTATAATGAAGAATTAAAAAAAAATATTATTTTAGAAGAAAGATTAAAGAAGCTGTCTGAAGAGTTTGGCATGCAAGTGGATAGCCCAGCCAATACTTCCGTTGATTAGGCATTTAGTTTCCTCAGCACTGACAAGGAAAATAAATTCTGGGGCAGCTACATAATGCTGATTTGTCTGTCATTCCAGGTTAAAAAATAAAATAAAAATACTGAAATTCACAGCTTGCTCAATTGATTAAGTCAATGTATTGTGGTCAATATTTACATACACCAGTCAAAATAAAAACCAGTTTTACCTCCCCCATCTACTCTGCAATATTATTCAGAAAACTAATTGCAGTAATACATGTTTTTAAGGAGAAGTCTGAGTTCTCAACTCTAACCAGAAGTTCAGAAACTCTGAAAGCACCTTACATATGGTAAATTCCAGATCAACAATACTGTAATTTATTCTGTCTTGCATCTCAACAGTAGACAGTGTTGTGGTCATCTCTGTTCTTACAATGTTAATTATTTTTACCTCAATTATAGAAAATTCAAGAATAAAGAATGGAAAACATTCTTGCAGTACATCAGCCAAACTAGCAGTATTTTTGTAGATAAATGTACAGTTACCATGTGAATTTTTTCATTCTGTATACTTTATACATATAGATGTAAACTTTTGTAGCACAAATAAAAGGCCACTCAAACCACTATGCATTCTGACTTTATTATTTGTGCCATCTTTTTTCAAATACTTAATATGTGCTTCATAAATTTAGATGCAGTCTTAAAATGGGTACTATGAAGTCAAATCTCTCACTAAGAATCTTCAAGACAGAATGAGTATGCTTCCTTTTACTTCCTCTGATCTTCAAACAAAAATAGTGGAAGTAGATTTAGGATGTAGATTAATTAGTTTTTCAGGTACTAGCATAATGCTGCAGCTTATCAGTTGAATAATACCATAAAATGTTTTCACCCAAGAAAGATACAAACATTTTAAGAAATCATCACACTTCAGACCTAATTCTGGTGCTACCAGAAATCTATTCTTCATTGATAAAAAACTAGATCCTGAATCTGAGTTCTACATGTTGTTGTGTCACAGTAATTATATTTAGAAAAGCGCATCCTAGGGAACTTTCACAGTTGATTGCATTCATTAATTAAGCTGCTAGGATCAGCCAGTTAGTTAGACAACGTGCTGTTTAACCATTAGCAGATCCAGAAATGGGTGAACAAGTTAAGGATTTTTCAAAAATAAAAATAAACATGCTTGAAGCTAGATTCTGTTCTGGATGTCACATACGTCACTACTTACAATAAATCATTTAAGAAAAACTTCAAACTATACAGTACAGAGCTTACTCTTCAAGCAGGAAGATTCCTTTTTGGAAGGGAGTTCTGTGATAGAAGAAAGCGGAATGCAGCACATAGAGCTACTGACTTAAAATAGAGAAGTAACTTCAATCATCAAACTTGATATCTTTGAGACTGTCAAATCTTTGACCGTCTAGTTTTGAAAACTGATGAAACAAACTCTTTGGTCCAAAATCACAGTCATAGTCATTTCTATTGAAAGAAATAACAACAGGCTGAGAATTCAGGTATGTCTCTGCAAGTGGCCAGCGTAAACCAAGGTGATGGCGATGGAGCTAAAATAAGAAGAAATAGATCCATTTAGAGATTTTGATATAGCAGCCTGAGAGTTCCCAATTTGAGGGGGAAGGAGGATTCAGTTCTAGGATTCTCTGTACTAGATCAATTCTGATAAACATTTATTAATTATCTGTTAGAATAATATGACTAAGTGAAGCACAAAAAGCAAACAGGAACCACTGTGTCCTCTGAAGCATCAGAAATAAAAATTAACTTGCTAATTAATAAAAGATTACATCAACAATCCTTATTCTCTAAGTCAACATTACAAGAAGTGAACTTTTTTAAATAAAGTTTTAAAATGTTGACCAAATCCTGCGTAGACAGGAAAATTATTTTATATTCTCAATTACTATTAACAATGTAGATAATAAAGAAATATATTAAACCATCAGCTGTACTGAATGCAGTGGCTTGCTTAATTCTACTGTAACCAAGTAAGAAAGAATTTGAAAAGCAAGGTAAAAAGTGAATGATAAGCCACAATGCCTCAGCTACTACAAATTATTATAGAGCTTTCTACACATCTATCTATCTATTTACCTTGATTAAACATCCATCACGGCAGTGCCAAACAATTCCTTCAACTTTACCCTCACAGCAGCCTTCAAACCACGACACTATGTCACTTCGTTTCAAAGTAGGTGGATTCTTAATTTCAAATGCTCCATGTGGTACCAGAAGATGTACAGGATGCTTTTTGCTTCCCAATCCTATGTTAAAAGGAACAAAAATCTTTCTGCAGTTATGTGTTTTAACCTCACTTTACCTCACTTTTATTATAGACATCTAAAAAGTGCTCTATAAAGGCAGATCTCTATTAGACTCCGCAGCAATATACTGTCTTTAAAAGACCAATTACACATAAATATCAAATGTAGCTATCTTTTCCTCATGCAACTTTTATTTACAGAACATAAGTTAACATGCCTCAGATGTTACAGTGTTCAGTTTCATGCTCATGTTCACCTCCTCAGTAACCACAGAGCGACTGAATTCTTCATGCTTCAGATCAATCCATATCACAAATATCTTAGTTTGTGAAATTGCTTATTTTCTAATGAATGTGCAATAACACTTAGGCAAGGCTGTTTAGTAAAAGAAAAGAAGCATTGCCTCTTTAGTGACCAAAGATTTACACTGAAAACTAAGACTAAAACTACAAAAAAAAAGTTGTTGCCATTTGTTTAAATTCTAACATAATGCTCAGACCATGTACCATTTTTCCTGTCCTTCCTTGGCAATTACCCTTGCAGCCAAGCAAGGAAGATAAAATTCTTGTTTGTGCTCATGCTGAAGTGTGTTTTCTGTTAACAAGCTTTGAAAGGGAGAAATAACAGTCAAAATTTAGCTTTAAAATTACATTTCCTTAAGAAGAGACTCATAATATTTAACTATTTTAAAAGTGGAACTCATGACTAATTCTAGGGACTAAAAAAATCTAAGGGTGAATAAAATTTTCTATTTTAATAAACTAAGCAGCATCAAGGAAAGAAGCACCTTCAAACAACCTTGAAATATTTTTTAAACTGACATTTAAAACAACTTTTCCAGTTAGTGTATTTTTTTTTTCTGGGAAATTCTCATTAAAAATGTACTCCTTAACTGTCTGAAAATTGCAGTAAGGATTAGTTAAAACCTGTGCCTTGACTACTGAGAAAGCACAGCCATTTTTCAGACGTCACAGAGCTCTGCATCAGTATAGCAGAAACCTCAGTTTTAGGTATGGCATAAACTGTTTCCTATAAATAGATATATATAATAGGCATATATTTTTTAAAATCACAGTTACCTTTATGCAGAAATTTTTATGGTTCTTTGCATGAATAAAAACTGCTGCTCTTTGTTGAAAAGCTACAGCAAAGCATTTTCATATTAGCTCCTGAAGAACATGCAGGCAGACAGAGGTTTAACACACAAACTTGTAGCAATTTTACGTTCTAAGCTGAGTGCATTTTAGGTACCAACCTTAGAGTATTCTTTGAGCTAGCCCTTCCTTTCCTTCCTAATAAGTGTTACATATTTAAACATGCCTTTTCCTTTCTTCTATTTAGAGAGAGAAAAAAAAAAAACAAAAAACAACAAACAAAATTAATGCCTTTCCAGCTAAAACATCACTGAATAAAATATTTTATCCATACAAACTTACCATATGGATTTGCATTAATATTTGTCCCAATAAGCTCCAGTGTTTGTTCTAGAAGTTCTGACAGTGATACTGGTCTAATTTCCAAAAGCCCGGGGTCAGCATGGTGTTTCAATACAAGTGCCATTTCAGCCTCATAATTTACAACAGACGAGTGCCAGCAATACTGCTTACTGTTTTTCTCCACGGGCACCCAACCTATGACAAAACATTCCATTTTACCAAAGTATCTGAATTTATCAAATGCCAATTAAAACTGTATATGCATTAAAACCAGACCAAAACAACAATGAAAAGCCACAACAGTTACCTTTGCTAAAAACAGAGTAACTAGAGAAACAGTTAGATCTCTAAGAAATACAAGAATACATACATGGCAATTTTCTAGCATGAGCATACAGAACTTCAGCTGAAGACAAACTGTAATTATTTTCAGTATGTCAGAACAAAGCCTTTCTGGATAATGAACAAATAATATTTGGATTGTTTTCTATATGTGCTAGCTACTATTTTTAATAATTCTGATTCACTTCAAAACAGTATTTTTTCACCATTTTACCACGTGTACCTGGCATGTGTCCGTTTTCGTCAGGCAAAGGATTGCCATTAGAGAATTCTATTTCCTTGGCTGGGATCCAGGTATCTGGAACAGGCTTGAAATCCTCTTCAACATTCCAAATAAATTCTAGACATATAAATGCAGCGTTTAGAATTTGGCAAACTGTTGGAATTACATTTTAATCCTCTGTCAATGTGAGCATTAAAATACTGTGATCTAAACCTTATTTGAAAGACATTAGTGCACATTACTTTGTAAAAGCACCAATGCTTGATTTTCAGTCGAGAATCATGAGGTTTAAAGAAACATATTAGCCTTTAACTAGTTAAGATTAAGAAACAGCTACCCAAATAGCCTATAATATATTTAAACTAGGACAAGAGAAGAAGAGGAGTGACATGAAAAAAAATGGAGGTGGATAAGTGACACTTCCTGCATCAGATGAGATGCATTTTCCTGCAGAAAAAAAAATCTTTACTGACCTTTACAATCTTCTACTGAATATAAGAATCGTTTGAACCTTTTTTCAGCTTGTTTGTTGGGTCTTCTGTCCAGCCTGGCCCATAGGTATGGTTGCCCTACAGATCCCAAAGTTATAAAAACAGTGGTTTACTTATGTAGTCATACCCTGCTCAGTACAGAAATCAACTGCATAAAAGTTCAAGCATGAAACTGTTGCTTATTTGTCACTACAAAAATTTTACATCCAAAGGACTGCTTTAATTAACAAATTAGTTATTGTATACAAATCTGGAAATCTACTTGTAGAATTTTGTCTAGTTTAACACAAAATTTTCTTGCAATTTCGGGACAAGAACCCCAGCGATGCAATAAACCAATCTTCTAATTTTCTCCCAACCTCCACCATTTTGACCCTACTCAAGGAAATCAAACATCCTCTACATAAACTCTAGCATGCAAAGTATATCCACAACTAATAACTTTTTAAATGAGGCAAGTTAACTTAAACTATACTTCATATGTATCAGAGAGTAAAATCTCCAACAATTTTACGGACACTTTAATATACTTATAGTAACTATTACTTTAGTATTACAACTAAAACAGGCTACTAGTCAGCATGAAAAACTTGTATATCGATCTCCCTTATTACCTTTGTAGGTAGTTACGTAACAGCAGGTTCCATCCACCTTTTCAGTAGGAACTGCATTGTATATATCTGCCTCTAATGCCTTTTCATTTAGGGTTTCAGTTGCCAAAACTTTAAACGGCTGAAAAGAAGACAGGTATTTTAAATCCTAATCACTGCTACATTACTGCAATGTTCTCATACATTCTTGCTTCATACCACTGGCCTCTATAAATCCAATACTATATGCTATATTGTTGATTTCTAATACTATCAAAATGAATAGTCGTTTCTGCAAAACAAGTTTGAAAAATAAATGCTGTAAGACAAAAAAAAAAAAAAGGAAACGGTTTGTAAACTCTGACCCTCCTTTCCATTCTTGATTAGTATTTTGAGATTACTTTGCCTCCCACTTTAAATGGGGCACGTTATCTATGCAGGTTCCAGTCTAATGCAACAGAATTGGGTTAGAAGGGACCTTAAAGACCATGTAGTTCCAATCCCCTGTGGCAGGCAGTGACACCACCCACTGGATGAGGCCGCCCAGGGCTGCTTCCAGCCTGGCCATCAACACCTGCAGGGACAGGGCACCCACAGCTTTCTGAGCAGCCTGTTCCAGCACCTCACCACCCTCTGAGGAAAGATGTTCCCCCTGTCATCTAACCTAAGTCTCCCCTCTTTACTTTAAAGTGGTTCCCCATGTCCTATCGCTATCAGACCACGTAAAAAAAGTCGGTCTCCCCCTTTTCCATACACTTCCTTTCAATACTGACAGGTTGCCATGTGCTCTCCCTCAAATATTCCATTAATCCTACCTGTAACCGTAACATAAACAACATACAAAGACAATATTTTCAGATAGCGAAGAAAACATCAGTCAGTTTTCCTACCAGCAATGCCTTTCTTTCCTAGCAGCCACAGCCCCAGTGCTATCCTTGCTCACACACCTAATCCCATCTGCTTTTTCATATGAAGGAACAGCAATTTAGGGTACGGCCCTAACACGACCATTATAGGGCGCAGTTACTGATGCATTGGCATTACTCTCTTTTTTTCCACTCCTTAATCAGTCAGCAAAGGGAGAAAAAAAAAACCACAGACGGATCCCACCTCACCACGCAGCGCACAGGTTTTTCACTCTAACCGGACAGCAGAAAGTGGAAGCCTACAGCCGCACAGACGGATGCTACCGCCTCTGACATTTCGCCCTCGCCCCCCGGGCGCTCCCCTGCAGCCGGGCCGGGTCCACTTAGGCGACACCTCCGCTGCCGCCGACTCCCGGCCTCGGCCCACCGAGCACAGCGCCTCCCGCGACCCGCGCCGCCGCGGTCACCTGGCGCTCCCGCTTGGCCGACGGCTCCTCCTTCACCTCGGTCACGAACAAGCACGGCACCTTGCGCTGCACCGCACCCCTGCGGCTCATGGCCCTGCCGACCCGATCGCGCCGCCGGCCCCGCGCCCGGCCGGAAGCGCGCCCGCACCGCGCTGAGCCATGGGAGACGTAGTCCGGCTGCGCCCGGCAGGAGCCCCAATGCAGAGCGAGGCCGCCTCTCGCGGCGGGCGGGAGTGTCCCGCCGGGACGGGGCACGCGCTGGGGCTGAGGCGAAAGCCGTTGGCTGTTACTTCAGCGGCTGATCTCGCTCGACGGCCTTCACTCCGCCTCTGCGCGGGCATGGAAGCGGTGTCCTCAAGGAGCGGAGGCTTCTCGGTGTCAGGTTGTGCCTGGGGAGGGACGGCCGCCTCCTTTCGTTGCCCGGGTTCTCTGCGCTGTCAGTTAGGGTAGTTCCTGGCAGCTGTAACTGTTTGTTTCAGTGCACCCTCCTGCCCACTGATCGTTCGTTATTCATTCTCTTAATCTGTTCTCCTTAATTTTCTTAACTTTCCTGAGTGCTGAGTTCAGGTGGAAAGTGTGCCTAACTCCTAGAGCCCTTTAAATGTCGTTCCTCTGTTAAAGCTCTTGCTTTTCCTGCCCACATTGAGCCTAGCCAGCACTTTCGAGCAAAATCATGGCAACCCAGGACAGGATGAGAATGGAGGGGTTAATTGGTAACACAGGTATAAGCTGTTCTCTCTGCTTTAGCTGTGGCAGTGGACATCATGGGAGCAACAGAAAGCAATTAACATAAACAACATCAGCAGTCAGCACCTTAGAGCGTACTGACAGGAAGAAGCAAGTGTCTCAGTCCAAAGAGAGATACGGTAAGAAAAACATTGTGTACAAGGATTTTAGGGGTAAGATTTGTATTTGTTATATCAAAGATTTGTTTTGAAGACCACAGCTTCTGCAGTGAGAAGTTGGGTATGATTTAAACTGTGCCAGATGGGTCCGTTCCTTTTTACGTCAAACTTTTTGAAAGAAGAAACTTTGCAAGAAGAAATTTTGAAAGGAGTATACAATAAACTCTTAGAAAAGGTTCAATTTTTCATGCTTAATTCAGTGAAAATAAGGAAGATGTCCAAGCCTGAAACGCTGCGTGATGTCATCTGATGATGTCACAGGATCTAGAGGAGCAGTGGAAGCCGTGGAAACGTAACATTCTAGCCACCATCTTTGACAGTTAGCAAACCTGGCTCCTTAGCTCTGCTGTACTTAGTTTTAGCTACACTGTCAGTTGGAGTTTTGTTTCAAAACAGAAGCAGAGTTGAATTTCTGAAAACTCAATTTTTAAAGAAAACTACTGTTTTCAGGATAAAATTAAGATTTCCCTGTACAGGGATAGCTTTTATGTTTTAATGTATGCTCTGCCTGAATAAAACGAGTAGAGTAGATGCATAAGAAGTGAAAATGGCTGAAGGTGGGAATAACTGCTACTTTTATTCTCCATACGTACAGGTAAATGCAATAGATTTTGGAGTGGTCAGCGTCCTTGAATTCTTTGATACATGCATATTTAGATGGAGATTTATTACCTAACGTTAAAAGTTGCTATGTCTTTATCATGGCAGTATGTGTAAATCAATTGTCTCATTTTTCAGAAGTGAGAAGGGCAAATTGTCCTAATTATTCCTGTGACTAGGGCTCAGATACTCAGGAAGCAAAGAAGTTTATCTCTCTTTATCTGTCAATGTTATATTAAATGAATAGACCATGTTTATAATTTCCACTTACACTGACTACCTGAATTTCTTTAAAGCCTGTTATAGAAATTGAAGCCATTCATAATGGGTTTTGTCCTTTAAAGAAATATTTACTTTCCAACTGGTAAAAATCCAGGGCTAGATACAGAGTTCCTGGTTATTGTATTTATTTGAGCATTAGTGTTTTAGGTATTAATGCTTTGGAGGCAGGCTTTGGCTCCAAATCCCAGCATGTCTCAGTGCATGAACCAGCTGTATTGACTGAATTCCAAAAGCAATGTGGTGTTGAGATGCTGCTCCTTGATTCTGCCCCTTCAGCTGCTAATGTTTGTAGCTGAATGAAACTTATTTCCCCAAAGCAGATGGGAATATTCCAATTTATTTTGGAGAGAATTCAGGCAATTTAAAGTCTTTGTTTTCCTTAAAAAAAAATAGACAAATTCTTTAAGAAATAGCTGGTTGTCTGCTGTTTGCAACTCTCAGCTGGCATATAGTTCGTATCCCAAATATAAACTTGATTTTCCCATCTTCAGAGTGTTGTTCTTGAGCACATGCCTATTTGTAATTATGAGTTTCCTTGAGATGTGCTGGAGAATGATAGCTCAGGTTATAGGAAAAAGTGAATTGTATGATCAGAGACAATGCTAGAATCAAAAAACTTTAATAAGGCGGATAACAGAATTTTGACTAAAGAAAGGGACTTTCATTGGAAATGTGCTAATTGTGCACTATGTACACAGACATAATCTGGAAAAATCTTAATCAGTATAATCCCAGCATTGTGATTGTATGTAGAAGTGAAGCAGCAATAATTAAATAACTAAATGAAACAATGTCAATAATTTCTTTTTCCCATTAAGCTTCTGTGTGTCATATGAAAAACCAACTGGCAGATGGCATAGGCAGTGTAATGATAGTAATAGACTCAGAACATCAAATCCTGAACATTTTTGGTAACTTGTAAATATTTTTCATTATAGTATTTTTATTCTTGGCTGCTCTATGGTCTCTTCCATTAATGAAAAGAAGTTTTATTGGAGGAGACTCACACTTAAAACAGCCACTAATACATCGTATATAGGAATTTAGTATGTCTAAGCCTCAGAATCCTTCTCCTCATTAGGATTTCTAGTGAAGATTCTGTCACTGTGAAAAACCTCTTAGCCGTGATACCTTGTGTACATCATGTAGACAAGGGAGGTGTTTACACAAAGGTAGAGAAGGGAGTGAGTTCCTTCAAAAACGATTTTAGTCTGAAGTCAAAAGTGGCTTTCTTGTGCCAAAGTGTTTTTGAATAGGAAATTAAACAAAAGAGTTTTATTCATTTGTTTAGTAATCCATGTCTGATGAGTCTGTACAAGGATTAAAAATTCTTAAATTAGTACATTTTCCATTTTTTAAGGCATCTTTATGTTTTTGAGTTTTGTTGTCCTTATTTTTCCACAACTCCATGTCTTTTAAGAGAGTCTATGAGTGAGATTTGCACTTATACAGCAGATTTCATTTGAGATAGGTCTGATTATCCCATTCTGTAGAAGAGGAAGCTCAGGCACACATAAATTAAATAAACATGCTATACAATAAAAATATTTTTTTTCTTCCCAACATCTCATAAAATGCCTGCAGTGGAGTATGTTGCAGGAGAGTACGTAGACAGATTTACTCTATTCTTATCTGGCAACAGTCCTGTATCATTTGGCTTAAGTACTGATAACTTTAAACATTTTAGCAGACCGCTGTATGGTCCTCCTAAATGTTACTCATCTATTCCTTGCAGTACAGTGTGTGTTAGTCAGTATAGCCCACGTGTATTCTTACATTTACAATGTCTGAAAATGTTTTGTCTCACAGCAAAACTACAACAACATCTTGTGTTTCTGGGAAACGCAGCCATTAGGCTGTGTGAGGATCAGTTGCATCTTCCATCATAGCAAACCTCGTACTATAAATGGACTTTTTCTACCACCTAGTAGCAGTAAGTAAAAGTATTTTCTCAACAATTTGTCTAGTAAAATAAGTAAATATTTGAAAATATCCTTAAACTTCCACTTACATAGTGCACGTTAACATCAAGATATGCACCACTGCAAATAAATCAGGCGTGACTGGCTATCCCGTCAAGTTCAAAGTGAATGAAGGAATTGTATTGGTATATGGATGGGTTTCTATATTAATTTATGCAGAGGAATGTTACAAATCTTCATAGCCACTCACTACATAAAAGATAAATTAGGAAATGGCAATTTAGACTGTTAAGATTTCTGGAGTACAAATTTTACACTAACTTTTCATCTGTGCTGTATTTTTGGAGTAGTAGATGGTAAGTCATCCTTCTTTGCAGTAAATAGAAAACACAATTCAGATTTAGTCTGAAGATTTTGTTTTATAGAAATAATTAATCTTTTAGCTTCTGAATTGATAGGGTCTTTTCTGACCTCACTGTAGAGCATCATTCAGGGACTAAAGTATTAAAATATTTTCCTTCTCCAGAATGTAATAGTTGACTCTCAACTGTTTCACAATGAATATCACCAATGGATTGCAGTTGTGTGCAGTACACTTTCTGCACTATCATTTTCATATATTAAGTTCATACATGTAGACAAACCCAGTAATTTTCTAAGAAAGCATCTGAAATTATCCATTTTATCTGAAGAAATGATTAATGTAGTTTATTTCCAACTACTACAGATTAGAGAAAAGAGAAACTAAAAGCAAAGCAAATTAACACCACCTTCCCCTCTGTCCACTCTCTTCTACCTCCTCCCCTGAAGCAGCACAAGGGAATGGGGGGTAGGGGATTGCAGTCCATCCTTAATGCTTTGTCTCCGCTGCTCCCTTATGATCACTCTTTGCCCAGCGTGGGGTCACTCCAGTGAGATGCCATCCTTCCTGAACTGATCCCACATGGCCTTCCCACAGGCTGCAGCTCTCCAAGCACTGCTGTAACACAGCTCCATACCCCAAGTTCCACCCTTCAGGCAGTGCCCCACATGGATCCCCACGGGCAGCAATAGTGATGTTTGTATGAGTTTCCATACTGCTTTTAGTGCAGTTTCCACATTCACAACATCAGCCTCGGCCAGCTAGAGCTATTGTAAACTTAAGTACACTTTTGGGTACGGTATGAACTAGTCAGGATGCCCAAAGACACTGTGCATAAGGCACCCTTTCTAGGAGTAATGCCCCCAAAATCAGAATTAGAAAATGGACCTATTTTATTTTATGGAATGTGTGTAACTCCACAATTTGGGTGCTCACAGTAACACTGCAAGTACTAAAACTATGTTTATTTTTTTCAAGACTTAAAAATCTTGTTAAAGTTTGATTTGGCTTAGTGCTTAACGGTGCTAAATTCTTCAAAACTGATG